AACATGACTACATAATCAACAACATTCCTTAACTATGTGTACTATGTAACATGACTACATAATCAACAACATTCCTTAACTATGTGTACTATGTAACATGACTACATAATCAACAACATTCCTTAACTATGTGTACTATGTAACATGACTACATAATCAACAACATTCCTTAACTATGTGTACATTGTAATAAAGATGTTGAACATACTTTAACATTAACTTAATGAATGAAAGGTGTTAACTGTATTTGAACATAAATTCACAGGTTAGTTCTTTGTATGTGAAATGTTACAAATGACATAAATCAAAATGGAAATCACTTATCAATGAACAGGATACTTTACCTGTTTACAGAAACGTAGAAAACCTATAGTATAACTCTTGCCAGTTAAGCAACATGTTCCATATAAGAAACTGGATCTAAGGAGAAATAAGAATACGTTCTTCAGTACTGTAGAGATTTCTGAAAGTTTGTTTAAAAATGATATAAATTTCAACCTTCTACAAAAAGGAAACAATGCATGTTTATTAATACTTGTTTGTATTGGCTTAAACTGGTACTTCAGTATAATATCCTTTGTTTTATCACCGAATTCAGTTTCTTAAGGTCAAAATTTTCACAAGTACACTTGCCCATGTAAAATTACAACAGTAACTAGATACCCGTAGTTACTGAGCAATGTACTAGAAATACCATTTGTTTTGTACGTGAAAATAATTTAAGTAAAATGGAAACACCCGGAATGAAATAAACATTTATAATTTCAACCTTATCTCAACAAAGACTTGCCTTTCTTTTTATGATTAAACCTTTTTGAGACTTTTGACAAACCCGAGTTGTTATTACTGTCCAGAGTATATTAGAATATTACTATTTCCAACAAAATGCCCATATGATACATACTTAATAGGTTTTCCTCTTATTTCAGTCATGATGTTACTTTCTCCTCCAAGATATTCATAGCAGAGACTGAGGAAGTTATAAATCACGAAAGCTGAAAAAAATTAAATAATAATAATGATTTGTATCCACACACTTAATGAAAAATATTTTAATATATTATTAATTTATTTCAGCACTGTATACTTTGTAGTTTTTTAATAAGTCAACATATAATGTGTATCAATGTTTTATTTGTCACAAAAACTATATGTTATTTGTTAATCAGCTTCTTGTAACATAATGAATGGTATAACAAAAACAGAGTTCTTAACAAACTGTTATATAAACTGAAGTATGATAAAAAATATAACTTTATATAACATACTCTTCATAATGACTTGTATATTAGATTTACTGGTTACATACAGATCACAGATCCAGACTACTAAGCAAGTGAAAATGAAACCTGTATGTTTCTATAAATATTGTACTAACCTTCATACCAGTTTCGAACACTGTCAAAGTAAATATAGAAGCTGTCATGAAAGAAGAGTAGACTCAACCAGGAATCAAAGGCATATATTGGTACAATAAACAAAATCCTCACAATCCATCGCTGTTCAGTTGGGCAAGAATAATACCTTAGATATTGATAAATCTGTAATCACCAAAAGAATTAAATTAAGTAATCGGAACACGTATATTAACTTCTAAAACCATTGTACTGGAAAATGCACCCAATGATACTATGGTCTACCACATTCTACAAATATCAAATACATGTAAAACTGTATCAATACCAAATATGCCAAGGGCTATTCTAATGCTTTTTTGCTCAAAAAACTGTATATATTGGAAACAATCTGAGTATCTTTTCTCTATGATTTGAAACATTTCAGTTTTTATTCATAATAAAAGTACTTGTGATACAAAATGCATGTTAAAATAGTCCTAAGTTTCCAAAATACAGTAAACTATCTCACAGTACAGCAACAGTGAAGAGGTCATTCCAGCTAAACTAGTATTTAATGTGTAATCAGAATAGCTGACTGGATTATACGGTACTTATTCTATACACTCATGGGCAATAAAGAATACTTGTTATATGCTAGAACTAGAGGGGCACTTAGTAGGGTGCATACCTCTACCTCGGCTCTCAAAAAATACAGAAATGTGTCCACATGTCTGTCGTTATCATGGACCATTTTGGCAGGTCGTTAAGGAATAATACCATACACAAGTCCACCAAATTTCATCAAAATCCAATCATTTTTGACTGAATTATAGAGCAAATATAGTGTGTTAACAGATTTTTGGATTTTTGTGACCTTCACCTCTCCAAAAACTAATCACTTCTAAGGTGGATCACAGTACAAATATATACCAGCTTTCGTCAAAATTTATTCAGCCATTTTCAAGAAGTCTTGCTGACAAACACACATACACAGGTGAAAACATAACCACCATACACCTTTGGTGGCAGAGGTAATAACACATCACAAACACTCCAAGACCTGTAAGTAAACATTTTTATATGAAAGAATGACTGAGTGAGCTTCTTCCTATTCCAAGGCCTGTACATGTTTGTAAATAAATGTTTCAAGATAAAAGAATGACTGAGTGAGCTTCTTCCTATTCCAAGGCCTGTACATGTCTGTAAATAAATGTTTCTATTTGAAAGAATGACTGAGTGAGCTTCTTATTCCAAGGCCTGTACATGTCTGTAAATAAATGTTTATATTTGAAAGACTGACTGAGTGAGCTTCTTCTTATTCCAAGGCCTGTACATGTCTGTAAATAAATGTTTATATTTGAAAGACTGACTGAGTGAGCTTCTTCCTATTCCAAGGCCTGTACATGTTTGTAAATAAATGTTTCTATTTGAAAGAATGACTGAGTGAGCTTCTTTGTATTCCAAGGCCTGTACATGTCTGTAAAAATTTTTCTATTCGAAAGAATGACTGAGTGAGCTTCTTCATATTCCAAGACCTGTACATGTCTGTAAATAAATGTTCCCATTTGAGTAAGCGTCTTTCTTTTCTATGTGTGTTGTTAAGTATCTATCACAAGAAAAACTTCTCATTTTGAAATATGGTAGTCGTCTAGTCTTACAGAGTTACATGAGAACAAAACCATAATTAAAATAGAAAGTGGGATTTGTTTCATGTGATCAACATTTCTAACTACAAGCCCAGATTTCTTAAACAATTTCTACCAAAAATAAGAACTACTCAAAATGTAACTTATTTAATTGTTAAACCATTGTAACTTAATTTTGTTATAGCTGAAAGACTTGTAAGCTCAGTGTTATGTTTAAAGTAAAGTCTCAGTCAACATTCTACTTGCAAATTCAGTATTACATCAATGTTAGATATACACAACTGTTTCAGTTCAAGTTTAATGCAAGTGTTATGATTTAAATAATTTATATAGTATGAGTGTTACATTTAGTTAATTTTAGAAGCAATAGTTTATCGCAGGTTTGTTCATGTAACCGTTTACAATTCATATGTCATGTAGTTCAATAGTTATGAATGAGTGATTGTTATATTATTGTGTCATATTACTAAAACCTTCTAAGTTTTTCTCGTTTTAATTGGGTATTATTGCATCATAATATCTAGTAGTTTGTGGAATGTTCTAGATCTCTGTCAGAGTATAAACACGTATCAAAAATTTAGTTCAAGAGTTAGACTGTGTGATTGTGAGTTTAGCCATAAAGAGCATGCAGTGGCAACTTTTAAAATGAAATTATCACAGATTGTATTGTAATAACAAAGTATAGAAGAATAATTCATCTTGTCAATTGTGTTCTAAAGTAACTGAACCAACCTGTGTAAACTTTGATGAAAAAGAGAATTATTTAAAGCTCTGGATACAGCTGTAATAACCAACAGTGTAACAAACATTTGTATATGCATTTGACTTGTTTCAATATATTATTTCAAAACAAATGGACTGTGTGCTGCTTCTTTATTGTTCAAATTTGTCACCAGCAAGTCACAGACACCTACTGTATAGAATCCGGCTCATACGTAAAACCCGACAGTAGATAAGTAATACACTGTAAATTACACACAAATGAAAGCATATTTTCATTTTTAATACTGAAAAACTTCTATACAAACTTTAAATTATTGTCAAAAAAAATTACAAGGTATCCATGACTTCATATTAACCCTATCTCACAATTAGAACATGATATAACAACCTCATGCTCTAATAAATGATTTGGAATCTGATAGTCAACAATATGGCTGATTCTTCATGAGGATATATAGCCTGTCATCTCATATTATCAGCAGTTCAAGTGCATACCAATAATATTTAACATTTCAATATTTATCAAACTTTTAAAAAATGTTATTTCACTAATCGTTACTATACTTAGAATTCATATTTGGTTGGTCATAATCTATCTATTTCCTCTTCTACAACTAATGCAAGTTTAACATTGTACACCATCTTATACTTAACTAATTCATTATCATACAAGTAGCTTGTCAACATGGGAGGCTTGCCATACAGGTATATTTTCATTCAGAGCTAACAAACTTATCAAACCAAGAAGTAGAAAGATGTAGGCCTGATTGTTAGACCACATTACTCGCCTTGAAAACAGAACATGTACATATTGACAGTGCTGGATGTCAGCAACCTTTATTTCTAGACACTTCTAGTGAATGTAACAGTGATTCAAGTTACAGTATTAGAAATAATGCTAAAGATGCAAAGAATTTTGTGGGCTAATTACAGTATGAATGTCAACCCTACTTACCCCGTGACATGTGGTAACCAATGTTAGAGTATCAGGAATGTCAACTCAACTTACCTGGTGACACGTGACAATCAATGCTGCCCACACAAAAGCTCCTGAAATGGCTTGTGCTGCTGTGGTTTGTAAAAAGATGGGGGGAATTTCCTCCAAGCTACCATTTGTTCCATTTCTAACAATATCTATTGGAACACCGTGGTCATCAATTGTGAAGACGCTTGTCAAGAGTTCCGCATCTGTTGAATAAGAGCTGCTCACCTCATCCACACTATTCATCACTAAAAGTTAATAAAAGAGGTAGAAATTAAAACCGTACACCACAGAAATTTGCAGTGCTTTATATGCAGTACAGTTATGTATCTTATGTGAGGTCTCTCAGTGCACTTTTCTACTAAGACAAGTAAACTTTTGGTGGTAGTGTGTACAACCATACTGTTGTAACTTCATTGTGATGCTTCTCTGTCCATTACTAAGTTAACGTTAGGAGTCCACAAGCTGCTAACCATTGTAATTGCAATTAACATGAGAAGTTTAAATTTTTAATGTTTAAGTTTAAAAAAACATACACAATTTGAGTTTTACTTTTATCTCTAATATCTTTATTCTAATCAAAAAAATCAATTATAGAAAAAATATGTCAATCAATCAATACAGATTTACAACAGCACAATAGTGCTAATAGTGTTTCTATTTTATATATATATATATATATATGTATCTACATACATGTAATATACGTGCCAGACACTAGGTTTTCTAATGCTGTTTCTAGTTTTTATATATATACTTACATACGTGTTAGACACTAGGTTTCCTAATATTGTTTCTAGTTTATATATATATACTTACATACGTGTTAAACACTAGGTTTCCTAATATTGTTTCTAGTTTATATATATATATATACATACGTGTTAGACACTAGGTTTTCTAATACTGTTACTACTTTATATATATATATATATATATATGTATCTACATACGTGTCAGACACTAGGTTTCTAATACTGTTTCT